AATCAACCAGGTCACTCACGTATGTAGTGGACATTGAAGGTTATTTTCAGGTGCCTTGAAGACACTACTGGGCGTGAGATAATACTGCGGGTGTGACTGATTTATAAGTTGGACCTTACCACTGAGGGGGATGCAAGAAGCGTAACCCTTGATCACATATGCCTCTAATTTCCTAACTAAAAACCGGATATAGATAGAGTCAAAGACCTTTGCATGATCTGTGTAGCACACCGAAACAAAGTTTCCTTTGTCAATCTCTTTATGCCGCAAAGGAATAGACGATAGCAACCGACAATGTGGATCTAATCTTGAAGAAACCGAATTGGTTATTTAGCAGCAATTTTTTCTATAGGAAAATGACTAATTCTTCTACATAATACGCATTCCACAACTTTAGAGCTAGTCAAGCAAGTCGGCCTGTAGTTGGCAACATCGTTATTACAACCTTCTTAAAAACCAGTCTGACATGTCCAGTTTTCCATAACTTAGGAACATTGCCACGAGGAAAAAATTTTGTCGAATAATATCGTTATTGGGGCAGCGAGCCCGAGAGCAGAACTTTTCAAAAAAAATGTTTGACCAAGAGAAGTGGATACTCTGCTAACAATAAGCAGACGCTGCGCTGGGAACAGTACCAGATGACACGTCCACCCAGTCCAGAGAATCTAAAGAGAATTAAGGGAGAGTAGTTCGATACATGATTTGGCAAAAAGATCCGCTTTGAAGAAGTCGCCGTCAATTGAAATTTCCCCGAAGAGGCTATATTTGGAATACTACTAACCACAAGTTTTAGTTTTTTCCTGCAGTAGTTGACGAAAAGCTTAGTATTTCTGAGCTGTTCTGTTTCTTTTTCTCCATAACCTGTTGACGAGGAAGCGCACGGTTAACCTTACGAGCGACCTTGTGGATTTAAACTTCAGTCTGGAAATTCAGTGAAAACGAGCTGACATTTTATGCTTATGACACACACGTAGGCCCTCGTATAGTATCGTGGTCTAAGAATCGCATCCCGCTGCGATATTCGTCCGGTCGGCTTGTGTTGATGGACAAGGTACTGATCTGAGAATCGACTGGCCACCACAAGTCGTTGTGTAACCCTCATAAGCGTTCGAAGCGCAACTACCATTGTGATTGAAAGTCGAATGCGAGGCTCATCCCGGAATTGGGATTGATTACCGGCGAAAGACTTGATCCTTCATCCTTTGTAACATGAAGATAAATAAAATCAAAGAAGTGTACTCGAATAATTCAATCCACGCTACCACTTTCTCATGGCTTTTTGCGCAGCCTAAATGTGACTTTATTTGGACAAATTCAATATCAAAGCCATCGATCGAGATATAGGTGGTTTTTGCCATGTGGAGGGAAGCAGCCATGCTAAAAGGAATTAGTTACTTCACGGTAATTTCTTCCGGAAATGTAATGAAAACGAGCTGACTTGGCATGAATACGCTTCAATTTTGCAGGAAATGTTGTGAGTATATGATTCTTAGGCCCATACAGATATGTTAGTCACTATGATGGATTGTCTATGGGCATTTATAAGTTTTTGCGATTATAGTTCCGTCGTGAATTGCCATGAATGTTAATGATCATAAATTAAGACTTTAATGACAAACATTTTTCATATCATCCGTCTCGATATCAAAATCAGTAGAAACCATTTTCATATGTGTCCATGAGGAAACAGAAAACAGTCAACATTCAACCCTCTCATTCACGAAGTTTTATGATATCATATTATATTATGATTCAACATAAACATATAGAAGGTTGAAAGGTAAGCACTGGAACGCTTTAACATGTTTCTTTGGGAAGGACCCGGATCCATTTTTGAATGCTCTTTCGCCTGATCGGTACAGAATGTTCTAGAAGGATTCGATGTGGTCACAAAATGCTTTGAAAGTAAAAGTACTGGATCATTGAACTATATAATGGAACAGGCAAACATGCGACCTAGTGTCTATCACAAGCTCTTGCAGCGACAATTCGCTAAAGCCGCTTCGGTGAATATCTGTGCTACATTCAGAGAAGATGTTACTCACTAGCAGACAACATCCCGGTGGTAAAAGCTCCGCTACTGAGAAAATTTTATTCGAAGACGGTCCATCTACAGGTCGACTATCCGAATGGAATGTTCTATTTAGAGCTGCTTGGCTCTGGCACTAAGACGGCTACAATCTAAGCAAGTCAATTTTGAAAAATGGGCCGATGTCATGCCAACCTATGTCCGAAAAAAGCTTCCATGTTTGCCTTTCTTTAAACCTGGGCATCTGTATTATTATTCGCTAATGCTTCTGTGCCATACAGGTTTTTCAATGGTGGAATACTTTATTCGCCTGACGTTTCGACAATCTCGCCTTTATCAAAGGCCTGAAAGCGTATCGTAACTTTAAAGTGTTACCTATCACGCTTGACGTAGATCAGCTCTTAACTAGTTGCAACTCAGACCGATGAACTAGCAACTAAGGAAAAATTCCAACAAGCCACTTACGTCAATTCCACCAACACCGAACAGTTGCTCAAATTTAGAAACAGTAGAGTAATTGAGACAGCCCGGTCAACCACGACCCTTTAATAGATCGTGACATGACACATATCAGTCTCTACTATCAGAGCTCACACAGAGGGATGTAAGGCAAGAGGTCACCAGTTATGTTGATGCACTCATTCTTGTTAGTCAAGCTCGGATTTCGGTGTCTTATCCAGAGAGCCTCGAGAGTTTTTCTAGCACCAATACTGTCCTCGTAGGCCAAAATCGTGCATTTAACGTCAAAGTCACAACCAGCATGACCTTCTCTTCCGTGCTTCCCAAGCTGTGCAATCGAGCAGGACCTTCGTTTGCTTGCTAAATGTTCTTTCACACGAACGCATAACTGTCTCCCAGTTTGAGAATCGAACAACCAGTGCTATCACGCTTAATCGGGTTTCCAAAGCGATAAAAGGCTTCTGTAAAGTCGCTAAAAAGGGGCAGGACGAGAATAAAGCCAGAAAAATGAAATAGCGGGGGGGGGGGGGGGGGGGGGGGGNGGGGGGGGGGGGGGGGGGGGGGGAAGAGGGGTATTTGGACGAGCTACACACTGTGTATGTCTTTGAGTACTCGTAGGTCTTGATGCGAATAGCTGACTACAGTAAGCGAAATATCCTTTGAAATTCATTAACGTAAGTTAACAAAAAGACTATTAATAGCAAACCCACTTTTTTCTTCCTGTCATGGTAGAAAACTTGAAAAATGATTGCGGCAGCAAAAAGAATAGCGGAGAATACGTGTACCAGTATAAAAGCAAAACATCACCTCACCACCCGGCGATCAGCTGATTGCATCTCGAGCGTGTAGGTCCTCATGCGAATAGGCAACCTGTATCGCATCAAGGAGAAATGTTGGAAATCATTTTTACAGTGAACTGTGTCATTGATAATTCCGTTAGCACCCGCAGAGTTTTTGGGTATTTCTCAGGGTAGCGCCAATGCAAACGAGCAATTGTCTGCAGTCCCTCGTGTATGAGCGATAAGTGTTTTTACGGCTCCACTTACCGTGTCAATCAACGGTGATGTCAATTGTCAATTGTGATGATGAATCTGATAGTTGAAATGTTTAAGCATGAAAATACTATTAACCACGAGACATTGCAACAGGGATATTACTTATATTCTTCAGTGATAGAATACAGAAAAGAATAGAGAGAAGGAACGAGTGCGATGGAAAAACATTTGGATTGGGCGCAATAAGAGGTCTGAGTCCGATTAAGTGGACGTTCACACGCAAACGCAGCAGGGACTCAGGTTGCGTATATGTTGCGCCATTCACAATAGAGCAATGTTAGGAATCTATTATGTCCACAAATTCAATGAGATTACGAAAACCTCTAGAGCTTCTGTTCGTCCCATCCGTTTATTGTGGCCGCCCTCTCGTGATGTACCTAAAAATTAACACTAATTACTCTTCAGCCTCTTTTGCTCCTGTTAAGATACTCATACTTATAAAAAATCATCGGAAACCAGTAAGCCGAATCTGTGGGAATGTTTTTCAGCTAGCTAAGGACCTCAGGATTGATTCCGAGAAGAACGCAGCGGTTCCAAGTGCCACCATTCTTCGTTTCCCATTCCCCATCTCCTATTTCCATTTTCATTTTTCCCTAAATATTCTTCTTGTTCAGGCGACCCCAGATATCATTTCAAATCCTTCTTAGTAGTTATCCTGCGGATGTGTATTGACAGGAGAGGAGGGGAGGTAAGGGAAGAGTGGGACAATAGTGGGTGTGGGAACAGAAGAGCAAAGCGGTGTCCGTCCAAATTTAGTTTGTAGAGAAGCATAACTCTGTAAAAGGACTAGCTCAATCATTACAGCTGAAATACCTTCTTCACTCCCCCAAAATCGTGTCGTGATGAGTGACGTGATGTGTATTTGAAGGAAGGAGAGAAATTTGGTGGTCAACAAGGGGTCTCCAACCGACTATGTATGTAGACTTCAGGTAAGGGAATGAGATCCTCCCCGATGATGGATGATCTACTCAGCCCTAACTAATACCACTGATGGTAAAGGCGCTTGAATATCGCAGCTCCGATGCGATCGGAACTTTAGAATTCGGGTCACATGATGGTAATGGGAAAGCGAGCTTATTCCCATATCTACAGTAAGCTCTTGTTGCTTCTTGGTGATGCTAATTCAGCTTATCTTCAGCAGAATCTAAGAAACGTATGAAGGATATAAATATGACCGACGCTCAGTTGCGCCTCAGATGTCTTACACCATGATCCCTCAGCTCCTTGCCGGTGAGACGCTGCACCGACTCTCTATGCGCCCATCATTTCCTATGCACCCCTTGAACTTGCTCATCTTCTTCCCAGCTCTCTTGTGACCCAATGTTTCACTACATCATCTCTATAGCTTTTGTTAGGTCAGGTATATGTCACAACGCTTAATTACCCAAGTTTGAGGTGAACTAAAATTCTGCTACCGATGGTATTTGTATTTCTCCGCGTGGCAACCGAGTTTTATTTTATTGAATATACTTCACCTTATTATTCGTTCCAGATATTTTGGAAGTCTTTAGTACTGTTTGAACGCGAAACACATCTTTCCAACTCTGAAAAGTAAGTATGAATAAAACAATCAAATACCGCAGGAAGTTCGGATATCGTGAAAAAACTTTGAAATCACTTTGCCCCTTTTTATGAAAGTGAATATATTGATTATGAACGCCGGAATTGCCATTAATGGCAGATACTGGAGGAATGGGTTGTATTCATGGCTAGCTTTGCCGAAATCTTCACGGACTCCAAGCACGGCCATAATCTGAAAAGGAAGTTTCTGAAAGGATACAGTAAAAACGATGTTCCCTGAGACCGGGAAAAAATAAAATTTTACCAAAAGCATGATAGGAGTGAAAAATGTCCAGCAAGCTGTTATCATATACCCAGATGGGCCAAAAATCCGCATCAGCCATGTGTTTGATTTAAAATCGAGCCCTTCTTTGATATCACGTAGGAGATGAGATGGCCCTTAAAAATTAAAAATCTTTTGGTTCTCAAAATTTATTTAATAAATGGCTGAGTGGGAAAGGATGTATCACGTCTCAAGTGTGCAGGTCAGTGTGTCAAGTTAAGGAGCAAAACTTTTGGTGGTAGGTGGGATTGAAGTGACCCAGAACACAAGACACAGGAGGGCCATGACGTCAAGCGGCTCACTGCTATTTCCATGCGGGCAAATCAAGCGCCACGATCGCGCGGGAAACGATTACATGTAAGGCGCAAGCGACAATGTGAAAGGCATTCGTCCTCTTCTTCATCCTATCTCATTCTACCATCACTTGAAATGTTCGCTGTTATTCTATCAATTAACACGCGTTACTTACTTGGATAGAAACGTTTCTTATCTAACAGTTAGCGTTTGAGGGAGTCTCGCGTAGTGGATCGCGTAAAAATTGTAAAAGGCGTGGTAGAAAACTATTTGCGTACAACAAGAGATCCCCCTCAGGCCATGTTCCATAACCAAGTCCAGCATCGAGGGATCCTGACCTCTTCAATTAAGAGGTCTAGTCTTGCACTGAAATTGCCAGACAAAGCCTGATCTATTTAAATATAATCGATATTTCACCGTAGGTAAACACACACAGAGCGATTTCGACAAGACAGATGATCAGCAAAGGAGTTCCAGCAATTGAATTGAAGAACAACTTGAACCAATAATAACCAGACTGAAAAAGCATTTCAGTATAATTAGAGAACATGCTATAATTATAGGTAACATCGTCTGGACAATCTATGACACTGATCAAGGAAATACCTTTCTTCCATATTTTTTTTGGGTCGCCCTCAGAGCTAAGCATATTCATCCTATCGGATTAAGGTCACGGGGAGAGGGTGCAGGAGAGATAGATAGTGGAGAGAAAGGATGGGGTCAATATCCATGTCCCAAACTGAAAAAGAATCCAAATTGAACTCAGGAATCCAGTTACAGTTGCATGGGGTGCCGGTCTAATTGTAAGACCTCCGCCTCTCCCAGAACCACGTGAATGATTCTACCAACCTGGAAAAGTACTCAGGCTGATCGGCCCTAGATGAGTGAAACAGATTAAGGGACTTAGATGACATCCAGCTCTTTTGCTTACAAACTAGGCTCAAACCAGCCGAGTCGCCCGACTCAGAACTTTCTTCCTTCCTTGATAAAATTCTGAGAATCGGCTAACCGGCCCACTCTTCTTCTTTGTAACAGTAGATACTATTTCGAACGTGAAAATGGACAGAGGACCAACAGGGCATGCAAATGGTATTCAAATGCACCCATGCTCATGCCTATGATTAGATCTCTCGATCTGTTGCTGTTCATTTTAAAAACAATAAATCATTGTAGGCAACCAAATCCTTGAATGGTACTCACGAATGTTGCTAAGCCAAGATATAGCATTATCAAATGTCGTTATCAATGAAACTTCCTTTCTCTGTTGATATATCATTACACGAGAATCCAAGATTATTAGCATTCATATAAGTTTTACCAAGAATAATGTCGAAGCAAAGGGAAACCGTGATCCTTCATTGAGTCACAAACTTTGTCGCGTGGCGGCCGTAATCTAATAGCAAGAAATGAACATATTTTAATCTCCTTATAATTTAGTTCTCTTAATCGGTCTTTACCACTGCACTTACCCTTCTTGTCGAATGGAACATATCAAAGAGTCAAAGCCAGAGCGTAAATAACAAAGGTATCAGGATTCAACTGGTGAGTGGTTCTCGCTCTTTAAGGCCTCTTCTATCGGCAGCTCTACAGACCACGGGAACAGAAGCTATAAGTCTTCGTTCAAGCATTTATTTCGCACAAACCCCCGCCCCTATGGGCAGAGTACGCTCGTGAAGCCCACCATTATTGTTCCCATCCTGCCGCATGTACTCCTACCAAATTTCAACGCCTTAGATCCACGGGTAAAGGAGTTATGAATTTGCGGTTGGATGAACACACTCACACACACATACACACAAACACACGGTCATTAGCGCGTTATATATAGCAGAATAATAATGATGAATATCATAATGAATAGTATAGTTTACCGGCATACACATTGTCAATCCAACAAGGAAAGAAAATAAACAGAATCCAACAACCACAAACCCTCTCCACCTCCGTAAGGAAGGAAATTGATCAGTAAAAGTTGTGACGGCACTTTGTGTGAACCCTAAATATCTACAAACATTTATAATATCGAACCAATCCAAAGAAAGTATGTGCACCTACCAAATTGACTGCTGACTCCTAGTAGGAGGAACATCAAAAATAACAGAAATGCAAAAAATCCAGAAGCCGGCATGGCACTGAGCGCTTGAGGATACGTTATGAAGGTAATAGATGTAGCTAAAAACTCAGCAAGTAGTGAGTTCGATTGATAATTCTATATCCGTAGTCGGAAGCAGGCAAAAGCCTCTCCGGAAATCATCTCTGCACCATCAAAACATGATTTCCAGCCCTATGAACCACTCAGTTTTTGTCCCATGACAGTGATTCTGCCTCTTTTGTTTCAGAAATGGAATTGTGAGATCTAACAAAGCCTCTGAAGATGAGCCATGAAATCGATTTCCAGTTAAGTTCGCTTTAGAGTTATATCCAGGCACGTTTGATAAGCCTAAGATTCGATCCGCCTATACACCTCTTTTATATAGACTTTCAAAGCGAACTAAAGGGAAGTAGGAACTATTGTGAGAAAGAAGAATAATACAAACGTAAATGTGGTAACCTCCGTAACTAAAAATGGTCTCTATGGGTTTTCCGGATAATGTTGATAACTGTCCAATGACGGAATAAACCGCAACACTTCCAATTATACTCATCAAGCCATCGATGAAAACGACAGTAACTGCGTCCTAAACAAAAATAAAACTAAGTAGAAATTAAGAAGTAAAATTTAGGGAGAGGAAAAGGGAGTGAACGGAAGTGTAAGGAAGGCAGTGTTGCACACCTAATGTTATGCTACAAGGAAAGAAGTTTTAGTACGAGAATCAGGTGCACTTACATTAGGGTGGGAGGGTTTATCTGAGGTGCTAGGAACAACGAGGTAACAATATCGTCGCTGAAACTTACTACTTTACTCACTTTTCTCCAGTGTCCTTTCAGCATCACTCAACCTCACCTCCTCTATATAAAGTCCTTGGGCTTTGGTTCTATACTGAAGAATCGAGGGAGAAAGGGAGGCACTGAAGGGGTTGTGGAGAAAAGTGATCAGAAAATTTCAAGTGCTAGCTTGAATCAATATTGGGCCAGATTCCTCTCAATAACAAACTCTATAAGAGCTTTCATCGGGAGAATAGGGGTCTCGTTCTCATGTGTGAAAGTGTGGACGTGAAGATTCCTTCTCTTCACTTACCGCCAAGCATTCACCTATTAGTTCCGAAAATCTCATATCCTTACTCTTACTTGAGTGTTTAGCTGGCTCGCACGATCGGTACTCAACCTTGATAGTCTGTGTGTCTGCGTTGAGCTATATAGTTTTACCTTCAGGCATTTCTTGAAAATTACCCCAGTGGTCGTGAATGTCCAAGAACTAGACAGAGTTCAGTCTAAGAAGAAAGCAAGTGACTAAACTTCCACGGTCTATAACCTTCACATACTGATAACCGAAAACCGTTTAGGGTTCTGAAAATCGTGGGACTGACAAAAAATCACCCGAAAACAGTTATGGCATTCCTTATTGAATGAGGCCAAAGCGAGCAGACCACCTAAGCCAATACCGAGACTGAAACATAATTGCTTAGCAGCTTCGATCCAGGTCTGAAATAAAGTTAGTAGTGTACGATCAAGACATTCTATCCTCCTGAACAGTAACTTACTGTCAGAGTCCACAATTTGTTCATATCAGGTTGTAATAAATAATCTATGCCACTTTTAGCACCATCTATCGTCACGCCACGGAGTAGCATTATCGCTTTGAAACAAGTTGCTATCAGAGGAGCACCACAACATCAATTAAGGACCAAGTTCCGTAAAGATATTTACATATTATAATATATGGTAATGTTGCAGTTATGTAAGAGATCTTTCCAATCACTGAGACTCCTTTGATTAGGCTCAAACACGTCATAAGCCATGATATTGATAGAGCAATGAATATTTCCCAATTGAAAACACCTTCACGTTCCACACCATCGGCATTTTTGACAAACAGTCGATAACTGAAACAGATCTGTAACCCTATAGAACTAATAGTCACATTAGACCTAAACCCCTGTGAGCTCTATTTATATCCCAAATGGTTTTGCCTACTGTAGGAAGGTTCTGCTTACTGAGCCACTGAGCTGGGTAGGTCAGGTTGCTTTTTGGCATATCGCCAGAACAACTACTGCATATTATAGTAAATATTATTTTGGAGCTTACCGAAAAAATTCTTGAGCGGCAAGTGACGAATTAATCCTGCAAGGCGAATGAGAGAAGCAGCCATCGTAACATTCTGAAAACTACATACTTATCTTTGATGTTTGAAAAACATCAATTATAGTCTTGTATTTAAAAGCTGGAATTTATCATGCGGTATACTATTCTGAACAATCGTCGAATTTTTCTCAAAGGAGTAAATTCAGCACTGATCTATATTGTTACTGTTACTGTTACAGTTACTTGTGTTTTGTTACTTGTGTTGTTGTTTTTAGCACAACAGTAGTCGTTAAATGCCAATTGGCTCATGATAGCGACGTTTATAAAGTAAAAACACTGGGAGATTACAGTAGCATGTTGACTACAGGAGGTCAGTAAGAGGGTTACGGTAAGATTTTTGTCACAAGTCCTTTTTCGTTCTTGCTACAGAAAGACCCGGCGTTACTGTAGGCAGAGTCTTCAATGTTGGGAATGTTTGTTCGGAAGAACTCTGCGAATAACCCGATCGCCCCTTCATTATTCCTTCTTATGGGAATCGGCTTTTATTAGCTTAGGCTAGCTCAAATAAATAACACTTACTTTTACTGTTAAAGAAGTTATTACATGATGTCCATTTACTCGATTGAAAAGTGATGACATCAAAAATATACAAAAGGCACCATGCTACTACAACATTATAGTAAATTCCGATAGATACGCTTATTATAGACATTGCCCATCCAACACCTAAATACCGTAGTGCTTTCAAGGTTCATAGTCGAATTGATCTCGCAGAATTACTAAAAAGAATGCAATCTCTGGCGTGAGTCAATCCAGTCTTCAGGGAGCACCCGCACTAGACTTCCAATCAGAATGGCAGTGGCGTATTGAATACGTACTTGACCTATCCAATGACTTGCGGTAGCCAGCCACGTAGAAGTCAGTGCTTTGTTCCTCCACAGCGACCGATTTACAGGGTGTCCCAAAATTATTTGCGCCGATTTATAGTAATATATTTGAAATTCTCAACTGCGAAAGACGATGGAATTTCTATGCACGCTAGCTAACACTATATGCTACAACATGCTAGAGTCGCATTTCAAAATATCCCCCGCGAGCGCGAATAGAAGTCAAAGTTTGCTTTCGACTTGATCGCATGTGGCACGCAGGTATCCTTCTCCATTTCTTCCCAGCCGTCCTCCAGCTTTTGCATTCTAGGACTCCAAACTGGGATTGCAAACTCGACAGGTCCTCTTCTAATCAGGGACCATTCGTGGGATTCAAGTGAGTCAAGTTCTGGAAAATAGG